CCCCAAAACCCCAAAACCCCAAAACCCCAAAACCCCATCTGGATGAGCAGGCTTTATAAACTGAATACAAAAAATAAATAACTTTATTTAAACCTATAGTTCTGATAAGTTTTTTCCTTAATAATCAGAGCATTCTTAATTAGATTTAGTTTTATTAGATGAGACTATCGTTTATGAACGATCTATGAATCACTTGAGAAGATTTATATGGTTGTCAACAGTATAATCCTCTTCGTCAATATTTATGCTTTAATGTGAATTGGTACTCATAAAGCGAGTTGTTTTTCTCAAAGAATTTGGTCCTTTATTACTTTTTCTGCCAAATATTAGGGAGTTAAAATTAGCTTTATTTTTCCCACCTAAGATTATTTATTTGTTTGAATGTGCTGTGGTTAATTATTGCAATTAGGCATTACCACTATTGTAAAACTCGTCATCGTCTGACAATTCCTCATCAAGTGAGCTGATAATGGAACTTCTTTATTCGCTTTAATGATTAGGTTTATTAGACTTTGTATGATTAATTTTATTGTAAGATTGGTTGGATCTATGTCCTTTACTACTATAACTTGCATTGGAGCCATCTGCAGTGCTTGGAATATGACGGGAATTAGAAGTAAGCTGTGGCCAGAATATATACACTATAGGAATACTCCAAATATACATAGAGACTGATCTTGATACGAACCAAAAAACCTCATTAGATGTTTTATTTCTAAGCATTAAATTGCAATCAGGAGTGAATTGTTCAAGAATATCATAAGTTAACAAGTAAAGACAAGTAGCTATAAAAGATGAAATAACAATCCTAAAAGCAAGTTAAAATTAATGCTTAATATTTACCAAAGTGAAGTAAGAGCTTTCTTATTGGCTTGTCACAGTTCTTACTATTCATAAATTGTAGAGCCATGAAAAGCCAAGATTTTTCGAGTAATGACGACACCCAAGATTAAAAATAATAGGTTCACAACGTATCCTCCACTTCTAATAAGCAAAAATACGAGAGTATCACATAGCTAAATACCTTCGAATGATGTGAATCCCATTTAAATTTCAACAAGAATGAGCCCGGTTATCAGCCAAATCATATTTATTATGAGGAATATCTGCAGAAAACGGAGCCATTATGCACGGGATGGAAGGACTCCAGTTGACTTTTTGCACATATAATAGCATACCAAAAAGAAACACAAAAATCACACAGATTCCAAGAATATGACAGAATATATAGTAACCTTTGCACTGTAAAATGAATAGTGTAGGACCACATCTATAGCGTTATTATTTTCTAATTTAAAGTTGAATTTACCTAAAAGGAACAGCATGGTTAGTAGGAGTATATGTATTTTATTCTTTTTGAATGCTTTTAATCTGTACCTGCGTTTCTTTAACTCAATCAGAAAAATAAAAAGGCATAGAATCCACAATATCAATGCAAAAACCACGATTCCCACCTAGCTGCAAATTCATTTGAATTAGCTTACAAAGAACATTTGAGATAAGAACCACTGCCATTAGAAGCATTCTCAAAACAAGCAAACAATTTTATCATTTTTCGATTAATATATTAATCTTATAATTATCAGTATATTATTATTTTAGATTTTGTATTTTCTGTTATCGCATTATTTTGAAATTTCGGGGTTTTGGGGTTTTGGGG